CAGGCACCACCCAGAAGCAGGGAGAGGGGCCTGGGCTGCCACCAAAGTTGGGGGGGTGCCCCCATCCACAGCCAGCCCTGGCTCTGTGCCTGCCCACACTGCCCTCAGTAACAGCCCCAGCCCAGGAAACTCAGCCCCCTCCCAGCAAATCGCTTTTATAGTGCACCAAGTGGTGCCTCCGAGATCTGCCCCAGCTGCGCCAAAATCCCCACGCTCCCGACAGAGATATGTTAACCCCTCAGCCCCTGGGCCCACGGCAGCCCCTCGTCCCCACTCCAGAGGCACAAAAGCCCCTCTCTGCTCGCTAAGGAGCCGCGCATCCCTAAAGGGCTGCTCAGGGCTGGCTTTCCAGGGTGGGCCCGAGGTGGGGGAAGCGGGCAGAGCAGGCAGCCCTGTCCCCGGTGCCACGCACTCCTGCCTGGGGCGCGGGCAGATGCACAGAGCTGGCCCTGTGCGAGGGGAGGAGGAGGCTCCCTCCCTGCCCTATTTTTAGCCAGCCCATTAGCCCAGTGATGGCAAGGCACTTAGGGAAAGCATGTCCTTCCCTCCCAGCCACCATGCTAAAAAAAAAGGGTGAAAGGAAAGAAAAAGCTCCCAAAATAAACTCCGAGGCAGCGGTCCATTCCGCCTTTCCATTGGGATTCCTCCCTGGCCCTGGGAGGGGGAATCACAGCAGCCCGGCTGCCCGCAGGAGGGGGTCTGGAGCTGGGAAAAGCTCCCTGCTCCAAGCAGGAGCAATGCTAAAGCAACGCAGGGCTGAGGAGGGGCCCGGCCCTGCTGTGTTTGTGCTCTGACGAGAGATGACTTCAGCGTTTAAAGGTCAGATCCAGGAGAGAGATTGCACAAAGCCTTCCTCGGCTGCCTGCGCCTGCCAGCGCCGGGGGTGCAGAGTCCACGCAGGGCTGGGGAGACAACGGGCAGGGTTCAGACCCTGAAGCCGAGGCCCCTGGAAAGGACCAGGTGGATTTGCCCCAAGCAGCTCTTTGGGTTGCATCAGGAGAAAGGATGGCTGGATGCCACCAAGAGAAAGGGTTCCACTGCGGCCACGCTCCCGGCGCTGTTTCGCTGCCTCCCCGCGCGCTCTCCCAGATAGCAGAGGCGACACAGAGGCTGAGCAAACATAATAAGCCAAGTAAGCGAGAGCAGGAACCAGGCGGAAGGCTTTAATAATTCAGAGAGGACGGGGAACGTGGCAAAGCAGGTCAGCTCCGGCAGCGTGGGCTCTCGGCGGTGAGCAAAGCCGCTCCAGCTGCCGCGTGTGCCCGTCCCCAGTGGGCAGTGGTGCCCCGGGGCTGCGGACCCCCCTGCTTGCGAACGCCTCTCCGGGCTTTGACCACGGGGAGTTTTCCTTGGCACCGAGCCCCGGGTGTGATTGCAATTTCACCAGGCGCTGAAGTGACCTGACTATGGGTGCTGGGGAGGGGGAGCAGCCCAAAACCCACGGTCCCCGTATGAGGTGGAGCAACAGGTCCTGCCGCGTGGACTTTAGCTCCCACACCGGCCATGTGTCCGGCAGCGCTTCCCCCATCCCGTCTCTCCAAAGCTGTTTTCGAGCCTGCCTCCCGTCATCCCGCAGGGACTGCTGAGGGATTTAATTTCACTGTCGGCACCCACACCCTCTCAAGAAATGCTTTGGGCTAGGGCAGCTGAAAACAGCAGAAAAGAGCTCATCTAACCCAGCACGCCAGCTGAGCAGCTCCTCCAGCACCCGGGTGTTGTCTCGCGGGTTTGCAGGGTGCAGGCCAGGCTTGCCATGCCGTGGGATGCGGCGCACCCTGCCCCTCCGCCCCGCACGAGCTGCGGGAAGGCTCGGTCCACGCGCCCCACGATTTCAGGGCATCCTGAGGGTGAAAGGCAGTTCTGGGGAGCGTGGGCAGAACCCGTCTGGCAGTGCAGGATTCATCCCTGTGGTCTGCCGAGACCGAGATACGGCACAGGATTAGGAGTGGAGAAAATTGTTGCCTCCAGCTGGAGAGGGGAGATGCCGGGGCTTTGGGGTGGCAGTGCCCCCGGGGGGCAGGTGGGCATTGCTGGCCAGGGGAAGCGGCCCTGGGAAGCTGCGGGGTAGCCCTGAGCTCGGCCGCATACTTGTCATTCCTGGAGGGTTTGCTGGGTCGGCTTGTAGCCTCGCTGCAGCCTTGTGAGGGGGCGGTGGGACGGGTGCTTTGCCGGGAGCAACACCCAGCCAGGGAGAGATGGGGCTGCGGTCATCACGCACACAGCAGCAGCTCAGGGAGCGAGTCCAGGGCTCAGGGACCCCACAAAAAGCCCTTCTCCTGCAGAGCAATGGGGAGAGACACGTCAAAGGCACAGCCTCTGCCCCAGCCCCGTGACCCGCGCCAGCACCGTGCTTTCTTCCATTTCCAGCGCTTGGGGAAACTGAGGCACAGAGGGGCAAACCCTCACCTCTGTCCTGCACACACCACGCAGATGCACGGACCCAGCGGCACGGCACGTGCCGGTAAACACGGCGGCGGGGGAGGGGGACGCAGGGCTGGGAAGGGGCCGGACGATGGGGCATCACCCAGCACACGGACGAGGCGCCCTTGTTGGGCTGGGAAGTGCTCAGGCACCCAGCGAAGCGGGATCCGGAGCAGGCTGGGGAAGAGGACAGAGGTGCTGGGGGCATCCCAGGGGGGTTACAGCCTCTTCCTGTCCCCCAGCTGCGGGAAGGCACCATGGCTGCCATCGGCCCCCACGTCCTGAGTGCCGAGGACGAGGACTCCCCGGCGGAGGAGGTGACCTACTCCATCCAGCCCCCGGCCAACGGGAAGGTTGTGCTGAGGTCGGCACCCAGCGCTGAGGTCCGGCAGTTCACCCAGGCCCAGATCAACAATGGCCTCATCCTCTTCGTGCACCAAGGTAGGGCAGGCTTGAGGTGCCCCGGCCCCCCTGGCGTCACCCCTGGCCCAAGGGAGGGGACACCACCGGAGGGGAGCACGGTGCCACCAAGGCGGATGCTAACCCCATCACACAGCACCAGGGTCCAAACCGTGCCAGGTTAACGGGGGGCTGCAGTCCCCCTGCCCTCCGTAAATGCCCAGCTCTGTGCTTTCCGCAGGGCCCCTGGATGGGGGCTTCGCCTTCGACCTGTGGGACGGCGAGAACCTCTCTCCTGGGCACTTCTTCCTCGTCAGGGCCCAGAGGGAGCCCCTCATCAGCCTGGCCAAGAAGCAGAGCCTCACCGTCTGCCCAGGTGGGTACGGGCACGTTCCCCATCCTCCCAGTTCAATGGCAAACGGGGCCTTTGGACCCTTCCCCCAGCCCCTGCCCGAGCCTAGGTGCTGTCAAGAGATGCCCGTGGCAGAGGCTGCAGGCGGGTGACGAGGCGACAGGTTGAAGACCACGCTGGATGTGTTTTCCAGGTGCCCTGCAGCCCATCACCAGCCAGAACCTGCAGGCAGTGAGCAACAGCCCCGCCGGCTCCACCGCTCTGTACTACAGCATCGAGCAAGCCCCGCGCCTGGGCAGGCTGAGCACCTCCCGGGGGGAGGAAATCCGGAACTTCACCCAAGCCCAGGTGAGCTTTCACCTCCCCCAGCCCCCCAGGATCCCAAGCCCTCCATCACCCCCACTGCAGCCCGGGGGTCCCAGCCCGACCCCGCTGCCACCACGAGCGGAGGCACCTGATCCCTGGCAGGAGGCAGAGCAAGGCTGCAGCCACGCCGTGACTCTCCCAGCTCTGCCAACGGCTGCTAAGAGGGATTAAGAGCTGCCGCCCCCGCGCCGGCTTTACTACAGCCACCAGCCTTGGATTTAGTGCTGGGGGAGGCTCAGGGAGTTATAATCCCCTTTTCTTAGGTTACCTCCCTGCTGCAGACCCAGCCATCCTGGCTGCTGCCTAAGGCAAGAGCCAAGCGTGACGCTTTCACCCCAGCTCCAAGCAGATCCTTGCTACCATGCTTCTCCTACCCAGCCAGGCTTTTGCAGAGCACGGCAAAGGGCTTATTTCTAACCCTCCCTCAGAAGCACGCGGGTTTGCCCACCCTGCAAGCTCCCCTGTGCTCACCCTTGGGGGCAGCCTGGCCTGAGTCTTGGAGGATGCTGAGCAAGCTCAGCCCTTTCTCTGAGCCTCAGTTTCCCCAGTTGCTGGACAGGAACATCCTGGCAGAGAGGCACCGTGAGCTCTTGATGGTGGCTACCATGCCATGGCTGGTGATGATCCCCATTTCTTACCTAATTAGGGCTCCTACAGCCAAGACAAGAGCTCCGGGTGCACACATTGGCCCTAAACACGGCATCGCCAAGGTCCCCCCTGGTGCTACAGTGCCCATCACACCAGAGATGAGACAAACGCACCCATCTCCCACATGCTATCACTCACTCTGGGTATTTATTTTGCCATTTAGCAGAGCTCATTGAGGGTTTTTTTTTTGGTTTAGGTGGACAGCGGGTTGATTTTCTACCAGCACGAGATGCCAGAGAAGCCCTTCTGGCTCGCCCAAGATGCCATTCGCTTCCGTGTGGTCGCTCCCACGACCATCTCAGATTCCTTCATCCTCCTCGTGCTGATCTCCTTCGAGGCCAGGTGTCCCCAGCGCTCGACTCAGCTATGGAGAAATGCAGGTAAAGGAGGAAGGGAGAAGCAGGGGACGAACAAGCTCTCCTGAAGTTTGCAGAATTGGGGGGATTGTGCAAACTTCAGGAGGGCTTGTTTGTCTGAAGAAGACACCACCGTGCAATTTCTCTCGGCCACCAGAGCACAACCTTGGATACTGTGTCAAGCAACATCTAAAATTGCATCCATCCTTTTGCTGCCTCTCCATGCAATTCCTTCCTCCATCATCTTACCAAACTAATAAGTCCCAGTTGCCTTCTCATCCCTCTCCATTCTTTGCAATCCTTTTTCTGCTGTACCTCACTTTCCTGTCCAGCCGATCCTGGCTCTTCCTAGGGATGACAGCCCTTTGTGTTTTCCCTTTTCCCCCCAGGTCTCCACCTCGCAAGGGCTCAACGGGCCGAAATCGACACCTCGGTGCTGGATGCCTCCAACCTCCTAAGCCAAATCCCGGTCCCCGAGAGGGCTGCACATGATGTTGTCTTCCTGGTGACGGGGCTGCCAGCTCATGGGCAGCTCTTGGTGGCTGGTGTGCCCTTGGAGCAATCGCAACCATTCTTCCTGCAGTCAGACCTGGCCACGGGGCACCTGGCATATGCCCATGGTGGAGACGGTGTTTCTGATGACCATTTCAGATTTAAGGCTTGGCTTCGGCCCCAGGTGCAGCAGTCCGTCCGTCCTCCGCAGGAAGGGGTGGTCATCTCTGAAGCTTTCAACATAACAGTGACCAGCAGCAGCAGCAAGCCACTGCAGGTGGTGAAGCAGCAAGAAGTGCTGCGGGTCCCACCAGGCTCCGTGGTGACCTTGTCCCAGGAGTACCTGGAGGTGGCAGACCCATCGGGGTCCCCAGAGGAGATGGTGTACAGTGTCCTCCAGAGGCCTCTTGCTGGCCACCGGAGCCAAGCAGCGGCTTCACCCAAGCAGATGTCAACGCAGGCCACGTGGTGTTTGTTGCCACTGGGAGCCATGCCCCAGGGTCCTTAGCTCTGAGCCTCTCCGATGGTGATCACCCGCCCACCTTGACCTCTCTGGAGATCGAGGTGCTGCCTGCAGTGAGCACTGCTGCCAGCCCAGTGCTGCTGGAGGTGCCCCAAGACCTGAACAGGGCCTTGATGTCCCATGATCACCTCCTGGGAGCCACACAACTGGGGGCACGCAACGCCCTGTACAGGGTCACCAGGGACCCAAGGTTTGGCCAAGTGCAGGTCAACCAAAAGCCGGCACGGGGCTTCTCGCAGAAGCAGCTGGACCGGGGGGAGGTGATGTTCACCTTCACTGACCTCACCTCTCCTGAGGACAACTTCCAGTTCCTTGCCATGTCACGGGCAG